ACTTTCTTTGACAAACATGACTCATTTTTCAATATCATCCAGAACATGAGGGTTGCTGAGTGAAACTGTGATATCTGGCATAGTGAATTAATAAACAAAAGGCAGAGAATTGGGTTTAATGTGCCCAAATTACCGGGTGATAACTTAAACCATACTGGCTGTTTCCATTGTATAAATGAAAATGGGCACATTTGCTCATATTTTAAGTAGAGATTTTAAAAGTAAAGAAGAAATGAGCAGGGTTTTGTAATCAATTACTAGCTTTTTTATCATGGAGGAGTTACAACATGTTAAATTAACATGGCCTAATAGACTTCAGGTTCTTTTTCCCTCCCCTCTAAAAGGGACCATGTTCTAGTTTCATAGAATTTCATCAGGAAACTTCTTTCACTGAAAGCAAATAAAATGACAAAAATAACAGGGAAAATACAGAATAACATTTTAGCTCTGTTTACAGATTTTACTCTTTGTTTTTCCTTTCTCTATTAGTTATTGATTTTTTTTAGAGATGTCTGCTATGTTAAAGTAGAAGTGATTGGTAAAGATTCAGAAGTTTATCCTATTTAAACTGATGGTGAGTAAATTAAATCTTAACTTTGAGTGAAAAATCTGATTTGTTGATCCAACAAAGTAGGACCAAGAGGCAAAGTGTCCCAAGTGCCACTTTAGTTCAGACTGAAGGCTAATTTGTTTGACAGAGCACTAAGCTTCATGTCTCCAGTTATACAGTGTTTCTAACCTTATGTCTGACTCCTTATGAGGTCTGTATTGAAGAAAGGGAAAAAATCTAGCTATATAAAATTGAAAATGTACCAGTGTGGGGTTTGGAGTGTTTAGATATTGTTTTTTCTTGGTTGTCTGTAGGCATTCACCCAGGACATGCAGTTCAGCTGTGATATTCATCCAGGACACGCAGGTCAGCAGGGTAGTGGCCTATGGATGTTAAAGCAGAGTTTCTTCTGCTGCATATCTACGGAAAAATAGTGTAAACCTGTTACAATACCTAGATTGGCTTTGTTATGTTTCTAATTTTGTGTGCATATCCTGGGTGAATAGAAAGACTTCATTATAACAGCTTCTGTTCAGTCCTGTGTCACTGATATATTTTGTTGGTGATAATGAGAGAAATAGGGTGTTGGTCTCTTGAAATCTGATCTTAGAACCTTACTTTCTTACTTACAGAAGATGCTGAATTGAGTTCTGCTGCTCTACCAGGAGGAAGGCAAAGAGTAGAGTTTCCTAAATACTGTATTTAATGTAAAAGGCTGGATTTGCTCCTGATATATGTGTACATGTACACGTGTGTGTGTACATAGCTTTATGCTTTTTGAGAGGTTAGTTGTGTGTTTTTAAGACTTTTCCCATTTGGGTTTTACAAGGAAAGCCCTAAATACACCTATAGATCTGTAAGGAGAATTGGGTAAGATTTAGTGAAAATACTAGCAGTACTGCTTATTAAAGAGCTATGCTGGCCAATGAGACCGGGAGCTGCTTCCCACAAGTGATAAGCAATTTGCGTAATCTCCTTGCTTAGGTTGTCCAGGATATGTTTTTTGACAGCTCAGGAAGCAGAAGAAAGAAAGTTTCACCAGTTTGTAAACATTACCACCTTCAAGAATCTCTGTGAACACAAGGATGAGATAAGACAGGCTGTAGGGCTGGTTGCATTGTTTATTTATTCTACTGTCCTGCAGTCCCAAGTGTGCTGAAAACCCCTGAGCCAGTGCTGAGTCCAGTTCAGAATTGTGAAGGCTTCACTCAGCATTGGGCAGAGGGGGCCTCTGCAGCCAATTATCTGTCATTAAAAGAATTGAGACACAAGATCAGATTTTCTTTGATGGGATGTGCGACTATAGCGATGTTCAAAAGAAGGTCATTCCTGCTCTTCGGAGCAGGGGTTGTATCAGCCAGGTTTCTGATGGGTTTTTATCAGTGTTGATGTGAGGAAATGGCTTTCCCAGCTGATAACATCTTTGACCGAGTTTCTTGAACCCTTGACCTTTATCAGTCGAAGAATATATTGAATCCCCTTGTTAAAAATAAATCCAAAACCAAGTTACATGGAAAAGACAACTTTCAAAGGAACATACTTTATAATATTATTTTATCCAGAATGCTACTTTATTTGTTACACTTTGAGACTTTTATTGCTATTATAAGAATAGCAAGTTATTAAGAAATGCCTCTGTAAAAGCTACCCATCAAGCCCTGCACTGGCATTCCAGGTGACCTTACTGCCCTTTCAGCACTGTTAGAAAACAAGTAAATCAGTTAAATTGCTATGTATTGTTGTTGTATGTTGCTTAATAATACTATTTCACCCTCCAGGTAGCTGTGACTGTACTCACAGGGCTCAATAAAGAAGCGTTTATGATGTCAGTGTCAAACTATGCGTTTGACTTGAGCCATGTACATCACCACATAAATGAAAGGTGTTAACAGAAGGCTGGAGCAATATAATTATATTCTCAGTAAAAAATAAATTATGTTCAGTTTCCGGAATTATGATGTTTCTGTAGATGGAGGGGACTTTTCTTAATGAAACTCAGGACTAAACTTGCAATTTGACCAGGTCAACAGAATTCATACCATATCACATACAGTGTGATTGTGAATACTTGGGGAAGTGATCACTCATCTCTGACTGATAATACTCTATTGACATCATATTTTCACCAGATTTTAACTGAAAATTCTGTAGCAAGTCACAGTTTTCCACGCTCTGCACTTTCTGAATCATTTATTTAGGAGATCTTGATGTTTGTTGCAGCAAATAACTGTACTTTTAGCTTTGTGAGGCATGGCATCATTAAACTTGGGACTTTGCTGAAGTCTGTGGGAGAAGCAGACATCACACCATCACCAGTGGATTTTCCTGTCCCTCTGTGAATAAAATGGCCATCCAAACATTCTGAAAGGCAAATTTTGGTGGACTGTGGCCTCGTTGTATGGCTGCAACCTGATCATCCTATAATACAGAGATAAACTCTGGTTGTAGTGCTCTGTCAAGTCTTGTACATGATAAATACAAAAGTTAAAGCCTTAGTAGGTGTATTTATTGTGAGTGACAAGGAGTGTTAATTTTCACCATTAAAGAATGTACATCAGCTCATGTGAGTGTGTTTCACTTGCTAAAGTCCTCTATCAAATCCTGCTTCAAACTGTGCAGCTGCTGGCAATGAGGCTCTGAGGTCAGGATTGCTGAGGTTGGCGGATATTAGAGCTTGTGGAAAAGATGTTGTAGGTCAGTGCAAGGGAAACCCGTGTCATGGAATCCTTATCTGAAAATGCTCTCTGGCTTTTTGTTTGCTTTGTAATGTCAAAGCAGGGTCAAGAATGTGATCTGTACAGACAGAGTTTTGAACATTTGGGGTTTTTACAAGAAAATGTTCTTTTTGATGTTTAAGTCCCGTATGATGGGATAATGCCTTTTGGTAGGCCAACTGATAGAGCTGGGAGGTGGGGAGAAAGATGCTTTTTGTTCTTCACTTGTGATGCTGGTGCAATAAACTTATTTTCTGTCTCTGTGAACCCTGTCATGCTTCTTTCTTGGAATTACCGTAGCAGTAACAATGCTACTCCTACTTTACATAGCTTAAGAAGTGTATTATCTGCATGTTACCATTTTTTTTGTAGGGGAAAAAAAAAACCACAACCCTATCAGAATGAGGATAGATCTGTTTTCACAAACTGAAGATAATAACAATAATTTCTCTCACAGAATTCCCAGAGGAATTTTAGTTGGGCAGGACAGAAGGTAATGTGTATATGATATTGAGGAGGAGGCAAAATGCGATGTGTTTTGTCACATTGTTCCAATGAGGTAGATTATGCTGGGAATAGGAATTGCAGCTCTTGGTTATGTTTGGTTGTTTTTTCAAACTCACATGCACAACTTCCCAGGTCAGAAACTTTTTTTTTTGCCTCCTTTTCTGTGAAAAGAAAACAGGTTTGTGCAAGAATTCTATCTGTTCTCTCATCCTTCCCAAAAACATTTAGATGCTTTGGTACATTTGCAGAACATGTGACTGGAGGTTAGAATATAAAAAATAATTCCATGTCTGTGGGAGGCTGATTAAGATGAAAAAAGCAATGTAATATCTTCACTTAAGGAAAAGAGACTCAGTCGCTGCCATGGAGACACTTCTGCACATGGAGGAGCATGTGGGTGCTGGTGGATATAGGACTGGTTGGTAGCTGAGCATCAACAATTTCCTTCCCAGCTTGGCAGACATGGGGAGGTGCAGGGAAAGAAGAGGAAAAAATGGTGCAGGAGTGAGTAGGAAAAGATGGACTGAGGGAGCTGGAGTTAGCTTGGTGGGAGGATGAAGGGTGATAAGAACATCCCCAGGGCTCTTAGATCAACATTAATTGTCAGCACAATGTTTGGGAAGGGCAGTAACACTTGATCTGCAGAGACTGAGTGTCATCCTGCTTCACAGATTATTTAAATCCATTACATGCATATCTGTATATTTTGGATCAGTTTTTAGTTTATTCCGTATGTGAAAAGACTTTATAACTTGTTTATTTGAAGTATTTAACAATAAAGAGAACATGTGGACATCAGCAGAAATTCCATTCAGCAGATACAGTACAAACAGGTATTCAACAGCTTTACCAATGAGCAAAGGGGAGGGTGAAGTCCCCCATACAAATGCTACATTGAGGAAAATACTTCTGATATTATTTGATACAAGATAATATTTAGAAAATAACTATGCCTCAAGAAAATGTGGGCTAGAATGCACGGTGTCTTAGTGTGATACTTAAGGCAATGAGATTTTAAGGTTTACCTTATGTGCCATGTATATTGATTAAATACCAAATGTATGGTAGCCATTTCTAACCATCATTTACTGTATTGATTTGTCAGCAGTGGAACTGTAATAAAAAAAGCTATTGATTTACTGTCCTTATTTGCTTATGGGCTTTTTATTAATTTTACACATTGTTTCCTATTTCTAGATTATAATTTTTATGTGTTTCCTCCCTTTAAGACAAGTCTGGTCCTCTCTGAGGTTAGAAAAGAGCAACAAATTGAGGAACAAAGGAATGAGACCATCAGCTGCTTCCTGCTCCTTCTTAAGGAGAGACAAAAGCTGCGTAAAGAATGGACAGCAAGGTGAGAAGTACTCCTATAAATCCCCTTGAGTGGGGAAAAGTGACTTTAAAAAAAAATTTAAATTTTCACTGTTCAAACAGTAATTCCTTGACTGGGATAGTCCATGTTTCTGTGGGTACACTGCTCTCACACAGTACAGACTACTGATAGCAGCTTGGTAGGCAGCACTCAGATCTGAGGAGTGCTGCCACCTAAAATGCCCTTGGTTTTCCACCTATTGCTGCCAGTATCAGCCATGCTCTTTGCTGGAATGCTCTGCTAAAACTGCACTTCTTGGCTTGTGCTCCTTCTATTTCCCTGTGGTGTCCTGCTGGAGTTAAGTGGATGGTGTTGGGTGAGATGGGCACACGTGTGTGAACTGCTGGAGCTCATGAAGTGGGGCTGTTTTACTGTACCAGAGCTCTTAAAGAGAACACAGATCAGGAGATGCTATCAACATGTTCAAAACTGTTTTATGTTTGTGTTTGGAAGGGTTTGTGTTGCTGGAATATAGTCAGCTGAATGCATTTCAGAAGCACCAGATACGCTGTGCTTTTAGTTTGTTCAGAAAGAGGTCAGTGAAAGAGGATTTCCATCACATTCTACCTTGTTCTTCTCTTAGGCTGCTAAATGAGTTGATGTCACCTTTTTTCACACCAATGTCTAAAAGCTACAGGTTTATACTAATTTTATAATCTATTATTTTCATATTTTATATGTATATGAAATACCTAGCAATCTGAAGTTTTTCTGCCAATTATACAGCTATTATTTAAAACCTGGAGATGTTCCTTACTTACAATTAAATACAATTTTTAGTCAAAAGTATTTTTAAATCATATTTTTGTTATTTAAATTTAGTGTTTAACTGGCATGATTTTTTTTACCTGCACTAATTAACGTTAAGGGAGATCTCTTGTATTTTGCTAGTGTAGCTCCTGAAGACTCTGAGATTGCTTTTAAAATGTTATCTGTAGATTTTGGGTCTGACACTAGGGTATCTTTTCTGCTCCACATAATTACAGCAAATGAAACTGAAACATTTTAGAAACTTTAGATAAAAATTGAACATAATTACACGTAATTATTTTACAAATTACAGGTTGTGCTTAATAAGTTTGTGTTCCAGTGAGTATGGAATGTTTGCTTGTATGCTACTCATTTAAGGTTTCAGAGTAAGCTGGCTCTAAAATATTTTCCATATTATTCTGTGGGGTTTAATTTTTTCTTCTTGAACAATATAAGGGATTTTTATGGTGGCTTTGTTAGGTTTTTGGGTTTTTTTCAATTGGTTGGGTTATTTGGTGGTTTTTTTGTTTGTTTTGTTTGTTATGGGGGGGTGTTTCTTTGTTTTTTTGCCTTCCATCACCATGCTTACTAAATAATGCAAATGTTTTAGCTATGTTGAAACAGAGGAAATCACTTATTCTGTGGGATATGCGCATCTTCGTTATGAAACACAATGGAAAGCTTCTAATGAGTGGAATACTTTTTAGAGTTCATTTTGTCTAACAATGATTTCCTCATACACAAAATCATCAGCAATCATGGCAGTAATGAGTGATTTAGCAGCGCTGTGGCTTTCAGTGTGCCTGGCCCCACTTGCTGCTCACAGGGAGCTCTGGGGCTGGGGCCAGGGCTGCAGCTGGAGACGCAGCCCAGCCTCTGACACAGCAAAGCTGCACCTCTTGGGGGTGGCAGAGGCACAAGCAGATGAAGTGCAGGCCTTCTTAAAACCAAACACCTGAAAGAAAATATCGAGAGCATTGTGCATTGAAAGTTCTGAAAGAAAGTGTCCTTTGAGTATTAAATATCCATAATCCTTTTTCTTTCTATTTGATGTTTCCCATCCCAGTGACCTATCTGGGGGTCCCATCCATATGATCTGCATAAAGAGACTGTTACCATACACCTCACTTGGCTCCATCAAAGCCTCAGCTCGGTGTCTGGAATGAAACACTGGCTGTGGCAGCCATGGAGCACACAGTGCTGAAAGTTATAAAACGTCCGCCGTGGTACGAGCAGGGCTGCCCATGTTTTAGAGATCAGTCTATTGTGTACTTTGGAATTACATGAGAAAAATGTGCTTGGACAGGAAATAATTAGCACTTGTCAAAGGGCAGGCAATAGGTTACAGTACTTTACTTTCAACAGGCTATCAGGGGATCAGCTAGATTAGATAATAGAATTTTTTTCCTGTGGAAGTTAAATACAGATGACTCTAATTACCTTACATTGTGCATTAGAGAGCAGATTATGAACAGTACAACTTCAAGAAATTTAGGTCAATGAAGGGAGGGCAGCTGGCACAAAACTTCACTCTGCACTTGGTCTTTGTAGAGTTATGTAGTCATTCTGTTCTTTCTTGTGTTTTATTTGTGTCATTAACACCTGAAATAAAACAAAAACAACCAAAAAACTGGTAATACAAGCTGACTGAACTTTTGGAAATTTATCCTTTCCCAGAGAGAAGCATATGAACTCTTCTGGTATGTACCTACTCAGTTAAAGCATATTCTTATGTTATTTACTTTAAGTTGTGCCAGTGTTTCTGCATGTTAATGAGCTGAAGTGACTCTTTAAGATTTTATTTCAGCTTCACAGCCCAAAACTCATGGCAGTGTGCTTCGTGTCGCACTCACCATTTCATAGACTTGTGATGCAAAGATGACATCAGTATCTTAAGTATCTGAGCAGGTCTTCCAGGGATTCAAGTTGTTCTCTGAGTGGTAGTGATCCAAAATACTTCAGGTAGGACTCAGTGAATGTCCTCTGAGTGTTAACAGAAATGGTCCAGAGTTTCCAGAGCCCCGGATTTGTTTATACTGCGCGATAGGGCCTGATGGACAGGTTGTTATAGCTGTTAAAGAGCTGCTCTAGCCCTTTGAACTGACCCCTTCTTGACCTCTGCTTACAGAAGGTCACTGTTCAGCTTACAAAGTGAGGGGAACCTCAGATTCTACTGTAATAAACAGAGGGTGAAGGGAACAGCTGTGAATTTTGGACTAACCGTGCAAACCTGGATAGACTTTTTAGGGTCACTGTATGATAATGAAAATTGTTACCAAATTATATGGAAATTTAACAGCAATAGTGGGAAAGAGAGGGTGGAGTCTAATGCATTGGGTTTGATAAATGAAGTGTGAAGTTACCCATCTGGCTCTAGACAGCCCTCTTTTTCTCTACGAAAGGGAAACATTTAAAAATAACCATGGTACATCTAGAATCAATGACCCATACAGAGAGCTGGAATAGATCAAGATTTAATGGTGACTGTGGAAGAAATTATCATTTGAAAAGTGAGACAAAGGATGAGAAAGTACAGTTCAATATCTGCACCTGATTCATTTTTTAAAAAGGCTTTAATATTTTCCCCTGTTGATGATGTTATTGACATTTTTTATTTTTACTTTTTAACTGGAACCAGAAAAGTTGTTATATCACAAAGAAACAGGGGGAAAAGACAAAAGTACTTGAATTTCAGGAGAGAATGTTGCACTTTTCCTGATCAGATGTGCCTGAGAGGGCTGGGCTACAGTTAAATAAAATTGTAGCTCTTATTTCTCCTAATAGAGCTTGTATCATGTTATAATAGCATTATCTTTAATGCTTGCATGACATACTGCACTTAATTGGTAGTAGGTTTTTGTTGTATTTTTCATAGACTTACATTTACTACCAAACTAATTTGTCTTCAATAAATCAACAAGAGATTAATTTAAAGGGTAGTGTTTAACTGCATTGAAAATATTGACTGCTAGGAAAAAATATGGTTAGTTAAACCTTTGCTAAAGTATGGAGTTTCCAAGTGGAAAAATTGTATTAGTCCAAAATAGTTTTATTGTAACACAGACTCTGATGTCTATTTTGCTATTTCCCTCAATGAAATTGTGCCATTTCTCTTAGGTCAAATTCAGCCAGATATTGGAAAATGTAAAGTTTTGGAGACAGACATAAGGAAGTGGAAATTTTGATAAAATGATTTATGATTGTTGAAGTGCTACTTATCCAAATTCTGAAATCTTAACTTCTCTTTAAATAATCATCTAATGGCAAAGTGACATAGTGAAAACAGAATAAATATTCAATAAATATTCTGTACCAAAGTAATCACAAAATTCTTCTGGTTCATGAGATAAAGAGCAGAAAAGTGTTAATTGATTATATCTTGTAAAAATCAATAACTTATAACCTTGCATCATTAAAATAACACAGTAAAAAGATATATTTTTCTGGGGTCATTCTATAACCCATAATATTTTGTAGACTGGGTCACTGTATTTCTAGAATTTTTATATTCTTGCATTTTGCATGGCAGTGGAAAAAGAACCTCTTACTTGTGACAAATCATGTTAGTTTCAGGTTTCAAGTCAGATGTGAGCTATAATTCCTCAGCATTTTTTGCCTTTGTCAAACCCCTTCTTAGATCTCACAATTTTATATAACAATTTAAAGGTATGTATTTTTTTCTAGTTACAATGAGCACTTATTCTACAGAGGTAGTCTTAGCTCTCAGCAGTGAAATCTGGATTTTTATGTCAATTTTTATATAGGAATGTCAATTATAGGGACCTAGTGAGGAAATTGAGTCCTAATCTGGATGAAGCTCTTCAATTCTATAATAAGAAAAATGAGGAATCTTACAGTGGAAACCTAAAATAGCATGCATGTTAAATAAGATACAAAGTGGAAGATTTTATTTATTTTCTGTTTTGAAGGAAAAGTTCATTTTTTCTTCTTATGCCTAACCTCCTTATACCTTGGAATTTTAGATCATAATTAATGAGTAATTGAGGTAGATTTTACTCTTTTTAGCTCCAGTAGAAGGTGGTGTTGATTTAAAAAAGGACTGTGTTGCCTCTGTAGTTTAAGAAGTAAACATGGGCTTTGGGAAAATCAGAGCTCTTTTTCCTTTCTGTCACAGGCTTTGTGCATTTTCAGGAACTCATGAATGCTGTTTTTCAAACCAAATGTGATAATACCAGTTCAAAGACTGGTTGAAAAATATGGAATTTTTTTTA